CTCACCTCAGCCTCCCAAAGGCACGGGATTACAGGCTGAGCCACCAAGCCCGGCTCAGAGACATCTTGCATACCCTTTCTCCCAGCTTCCCCTGATGTTAATATCTTATGTAACTAGGGTATATGTTTCAAAACTAAGACACTAAGGGCTGGGTGCCTGTAAAACTGGCACTTTGGGAGGCCAAGGCGGGAGGGATTGCTTGAGCTCAGGAGTTTGAGACCACCTGGGCAACATAGCGAGAACTTGTCTCTAAAAAATAAAAAAAAAACTTAAAAAAAAAAGAATCAAAACTAAGACATTAACATCGGTGTACCCCTAACTAAATTGTAGACTTTCTTCTACTAATGGTCCTTATTTAATCTAATGCAGAGTACCTCATTGCATTTACCTGTTACATCTTCTTAGTCTCCTTCAAGCTGCAACAGGAAACTATTAGTTTTTAGTTGTTTTTTTTTTTTTTTGGAAGATGTGGGGTACAATTCAGGGTTAGGTATACAACGTTGATTATGCAGGTATCTTTGTTGATGAGGTGTGCTCCTCCCTCCCCTAGCAGTTTCCCTCAATTGCCAATCCCACCACCCCTCCCCTGACAGTTTCTCACTGCTGCCAATCCCTTTATTATAGTATTATAATAATTGTTCAAGGTCAGCTTATGAGTGAGAACATATGGTACTCTGTTCTTTGTTTCTGTGTTAGATCACTGAGTATGATTGACTCTAAATCCAACCAAGTTCCTGTGAAGTTCATATGTTTGTCCTTCTTTATGGCTGAGTAATATTCCATTGTGTATATGTACCACATTTTTTATCCAGTCCAGCTTCGACTGGCAGCGTGGTTGGTTTCATGTCTTTGCTGTTGTGAATTCTGAAAGTTTTTAAAAATGATGATTTGCATTCTAAGTGAACTAATGCAGGAACAGAAAACCAAGCACCACATGTTTTCACTTATAAGTGGTAATTAAACTAAGAGTCTGTCAAAGCATAGGGAATGGTATAATGGATACTGGAGGCTCAGAAGGGGGACGGTGGGAAGGGGTGGAGAGACAAAAAACCCCCTATCAGGTACAGTGTGCACAAGTGGGAATGGTGGGTACATTTAAAGCCCAGACTTTGCCATTATATAACACATCCATGTAGCCAAAAATGATTTGTACCCATTAAAGCTTTTAAAATAGAGAGAGAAAAACAAGTAATTGATCACAAAAATTGAAAAAATAAAATGATATGAACATTTTTTGGAAACCAAAAATATACAAAATTTAAAAGTCCTTAATCTGGAGGAAGCCACCAGGTCAAACAAAGCATTATACACACAAATGCTGTTCATTCAATTCCAGCATCTGTGAAGCTATAACTGTGTTGACTCCACATTTTTTATGAGTTTTCCATCTATTAAAACACTAAATTACTTCATGAAATTATTTCAGTGTTACTGTGTTCTTTGCCAGATTATGCCAACAAAGTGTTACGGGGAGCAAAAATGTGACCAAATGAATTATCTCCAATGTAGAAACCTATTTTGTTTTTTAAAGTTTACACAAACATTTATTTCTTGTTTGCAACATTGTCCATTTCTGTTCTTGTTTTGTAGCTAAATCAAGTTAGATTTAAGCTTATGGTGGTAAGAAACTAAGTTCACTGTCTTGAGTTTTTTATTTTTTTTATTTTTATTTTTATTTTGAGTTGGAGTCTCACTCTGTTGCCCAGACTGGAGTGCAGTGGCCGCTCCCGGCCACCACAGCCTCGACCTGCTGGGCTCCGGCGATCCTTCTACCTCAGCCTTCCAAGTAGCTGGAACTACGGGCGCACACTATCACTCCTGGCTCATTTTTTATTTATTGTAGAGATGGAGATGAGGTCTCACCAAATTGCCCAGGCGGGTCTCGAACCCGCAGGCTCAGGCAATCCGCTCACCTCAGCCTGCCAAGGCACGGGATTACAGGCTGAGCCACTGAGCCCAGCTACTGTCTGAGTTTTTAAAAAGCCAGTGTCTGTCCGTTGCCTAGAAAATATGCAGTGGCTTGGCCTTTAAAGTAGAGAGAGAAAAACAAGTAATTGATCACAAAAATTGAAAAAATAAAATGATATGAACATTTTTTGGAAACCAAAAATATACAAAATTTAAAAGTCCTTAATCTGGAGGAAGCCACCAGGTCAAACAAAGGTGAAGTGAAGATTTAGAATTGTTAATGAAGTTATGATAAATATTGAGAGTATTATGCCTTCTAGGCATAGTAGAGAAGATATGAGATGTGAGCGATATATCAATATGCCTAGAAGTGATGTTAAAAAAGCAAGGATAAGGTTAATATAGATGTATGGCATTTTGGTAATTATGCGTTGTGCATAGTCTAATGAGTCGAAATCATTTATTTTAGTTAAACTAATCACCATATTCAGTTCATTCAAGTCCTTTTTGGACTCACTCATATGCGAGGCCTAGGGCTAGAATAGTAATAAGGGCTAGGGCCATAGTTAGCATAAGGTTAAGGTTCGTTGTATGGGTGGCTCAGGGAAGAGGAAGGAGAAGAGCAATTTCTAAGTCAAACAGGAGAAAAGTAATAGCAACTAGGAAGAATTTTATGGAGAATGGCAGGCGAGCTGATTCTGTTGGGTCGAAGCCACATTCATAGGGGCTGGATTTTTCTGTATATATATTTAGTTGTGGGAGTCAGAATGCAATTGAAACCAGGAGTAGTGCGAGTGTTATATTTGTAATTAGGGATAAAATTAAATTAATTATTCCTTCCTGGGTTATACCAGGGCTAATTGATTGGAAGTCAATTGTACTAATTAATACTAAAGGGATAGGACCCTCATCAATAGATAGAGACGTATAAGAATAGTCAGACTACGTCTACAAAATGTCAGTATCAGGCGGCGGCTTCAAACCCGAAATGATGGTTTGATGTAAAGTGGAATTTTAATTGTCGAAAGAAACAAATGGTTAGAAAAGTCGAACCGATGATAACATGGAGCCCGTGAAAGCCTGTGGCTATAAAGAAAGTCGACCCATAGACACTATCGGAGATGGTAAAAGATGTTTCAAAGTATTCTGATATTTGAAGCAGGGTAAAGTAAATGCCTAATATAATAGTAATTGATAGGGCTTGAAGTATTTGTTTACGATTGCCTTCTAGCAGGCTATGATGGGCTCATGTAATGGAAACGCCTGAGGCCAGTAAGACGGATGTGTTTAGTAAGGGTACTTCTATAGGATTTAGAGGATAAATACCTGCTGGGGGCCAGCAACCTCCTAGTTCAGGGGTCGGTGCTAGACTGGAGTGGTAAAAGGCTCAGAAGAAGCCCGCGAAGAAGAATACTTCTGAGATGATAAATAGGATTATGCCATATCGAAGACCTTTTTGTACAATTGATGTATGGTGGCCTTGAAAAGTTCCTTCTCGAATAATATCGCGTCATCATTGGTATATGGTTAGTGTATTTGTAATAAGGCCTAATATTAGGAGTATAAGGGAGTTGAAAACCACCTTCCCAATGGTTTTCTTTCATTCTGTGGTTTCATGTTTCTTTTTGAAGATAATTTTTGCGGATGAGTGCACAGAAGCTGAGGGTCGCCATTGGCACATGAAACACTTCTGCTGCCTTGAGTGTGAAACAGTTTTGGGAGGACAGAGGTATATCATGAAGGATGGCCGTCCATTCTGCTGTGGCTGTTTTGAGTCTCTCTACGCGGAGTACTGTGAAACCTGTGGAGAGCACATAGGTAAGTTCACAGCCAGCTGCTCTGCGCTGTCTTGTAGTCATTTGCCTGTCTGGTATTACTGTTTCTCTTTTTTTTTTTAATTTTTACTTGGGGTATAATTTACATATAGTGAAATGTAGAGATCTTAAATGTGTTAGTTGATGAATTTTGACAAATGAATATACAGTCAATTCTGGTTATTCACAGAAGTTGTGTTCTATAACGTTACCACCTTAGCTCCTAGGGGAAATACAGGGTTAGGTGCCTGTGAGCCTCTGGTCACTACAGTTTCATCAGCCCATCAGTATAAAACCTTGTTTCATATGTGTTTTGGTTTAAAGCCACTTTATTTAATACATATTGTTGATGCATTACCGTTGATCTCATGGCCAACAGCACTGTTCCTCAAGATTAAGAGCTTATCTAACACACATTTTCTCCATAAGGCACATCACAGTCTTCTTGCATTTACAAGTACTAGACAGCACTTCAGCATTACGCTTGGGGGTCATTTTAAAAAGCAAATTCACCAATAAAAAATTGCAAAAACCGTGGCACTAAAGAGACCATGAATAGGACCCTTGCTGACAGTGTAAGAGCTGAAACAACAAAAGACAGAGCATTGCTTTGACCTCAGCAGGGAACATGCATGTTGGTCAATTTAAATTTTCACCACACTACACATCTACAAATGACCATGAAAATGTTGTGAATATCTATTTGGGGGTTATGAATATATTTTAGCAAGTAGACAAATTCACAAATACAGAAGCCACGAACAATGATGATTAACTGTACTTGTGTAGCCCACACCCCAATCAAGATACAGATATTTCCATCACCCATGAGAGTTCCCCCGAGCCAATGCTTTATTTCTTTTCTCCGTTTCTTCCTTCTTCCTTTGTTTCAAGCATTAAACTATCACCTGTTCTGTCCTTTTTCAAAACAGGTGTCGACCATGCGCAGATGACCTATGATGGGCAGCACTGGCACGCCACAGAAGCGTGCTTTTCTTGTGCCCAGTGTAAAGCCTCTTTGTTGGGCTGCCCCTTTCTTCCCAAACAGGGTCAAATTTATTGCTCAAAAACATGCAGCCTAGGTGAAGACATCCATGCCTCTGATTCTTCTGACTCTGCATTTCAGTCAGCTCGGTCGAGAGACTCCAGAAGAAGTGTCCGAATGGGCAAAAGCAGTCGGTCAGCGGATCAGTGTAGACAGTCTCTCCTTTTGTCCCCTGCTCTGAACTACAAGTTTCCTGGCCTCTCAGGCAATGCAGATGACACCCTTTCTCGGAAATTGGATGATCTGAATCTCTCCAGGCAAGGAGCAAGTTTTGTCAATGAAGAATTTTGGAAAGGCAGAGTAGAGCATGAAGCCCCAGAAGAGCCTGAAGAATGGGCTGAGCATGAAGATTACATGACACAGCTCCTCCTCAAGTTTGGTGATAAAAGTCTCTTTCAGCAACAGCCCAGTGAGATGGATATTCGAGCCAACGAGCACTGGATATCTGATAACATGATTAAAAATAAGACTGAGTTGAAGCAAAATAACCAGAGCCTTGCAAGTAAAAAATACCAGTCTGATATGTATTGGGCACAGTCACAAGATGGACTGGGCGATTCTGCTTATGGCAGCCACCCAGGCCCTGCAAGCAGCAGAAGGCTCCAGGAACTGGATCTGGACCACGGGGCTTCGGGATATAATCACGATCAGACACAGTGGTATGAAGATTCCCTGGAGTGTTTGTCAGACTTGAAGCCAGAGCAAAGTGTTAGGGATTCGATGGATTCCTTGGCTTTGTCTAATATCACAGGTATGTAATCTAGGGGATATGGGAGATTTGAAAAAGGAACCACTAAAAAGCTTATTCAAAAAATTGTGATTCAGCAACAGTAGAGGCTATGTTATTTAAAACCATGGACCAAGGGAAGGCGTTTCATTTAAATGCCAAACACTGGCAAAACAAACCTGTGTGCACAGATCTATGTGTATAAAATATATTTTCAGTGCAGTCTTTTGGAATAGGTATTATTATCCCTGTTTTAAAGAGGGAGAGATTGATTTATTTGGATAAGGGAGGCTGCAACTGGATTGAGAGACATGCAGTTTGGATTGTGCTATATGAATTTTAAGATACTCAAATTGGTCTGCACACTTTATAAGCCTCCTTTTTTTACATTTTCCAGAACTTCACTGTGGCGGTAGATAGCTCAAAAATAGATGAACATTTTTTACTCAGATTACAAAATATTACTTTACTGTTGTCAAAACACATTCATATCATTATCCACATTTTATCTTTAAAGTGACCCTGAGCCATATAGAGTGGATGATATTGCTTGAATTACCAAGAGTCTAAACGCCTAACATTACATAGGTTCTATAATGGCAAGTTTGCAACAAGTCTTTGGATACAGAAATGTTGCTGTTGTATTGCTAGTTTTATAGTCAAACTAATGGCGTCCATTTCTTTCACAAAGGTTATGTTTCTGTAGTACGGGTAGGAAAAGCTTTAGCAGCTGCCCACCACTAGGAATGCCCTCTGCCATAACCCTGCAGTGATAAGGAGGAATAAGACGAAGCTACCCTCCTGGCTTCTGCAGACTTGTCAAAGATAAGGCCTGCTATATAGGGGAATTAGGGAAGAATGATGGGTGAGACAAGTTAGTGAGTACTTCCTGTCTGCCAGGTGCTATGCTGGTGTTTTTTAAATTTAAGAATGAAGTATCAGAAATAAACATAATCTGGTATACAGTAGTAGAAGCTGACATTCCTTGACAATAATAGGGTGAAAGACAAGCTCCCTTTAAAAAGTGGGAAGTTATATAGTCTCCAGTTGACCACGGTCCACACCACTCCCTATTGTCACTTACTGTCGGTTGGACTGTGTATATTTATCATAACAGTCCCAGGCCCTATTATAACAAAGAAAGTCAATATGTTTTGAGAAAAGCTTTAATACAAGATTAGTCTGGAAGTGGCATGTTTTACAAGTTGTAGGCAGAGAAGAATGGAAGGCCATCTGTGTCCCAATAAAACTTTACACACAGGCTGTTGGGCTGTGACTCACTGACCACTAGTCTCAGTGTAAGATGAGGAAGACTAGCCTATGATGGTGGCCATGTGGATGCCAAGGAAGGGATTGATTTGGGAGATGTTCAAATGAAGCAATGTGACTTTAATGGATTGAGAGGCAGACATGGCCGCATCTTATGTCTAAAAATGAATAAAGAGGCTTCTATGCAGAGCTGTTAAATTTCTGCTGTTCATGCCATGTGCTGTCACTAATCTTTGCCTCCAGAACAGCTGGGCGCATAAGAGAGGCTGTGCTCCTTGTATCAAAAACAAACTATATGCCTTTTCTCAATTGGTATATATACTTGTTGGCTCTCCCTAGTGGGTTTTAATCAAATTGGAAATTTTCTTTGAAATGTTTTCTCTCAGTAGCTTGTCTGTACTAATTGTAAGAATACTAGGATTTTTGAGAAGCACATCTTGTTTTTGCTTCCCTTCTAGGGGCTTCAGTGGATGGAGAAAGCAAGCCGAGGCCATCTTTATATTCCCTGCAAAATTTTGAGGAGATGGAGACAGAAGATTGTGAGAAAATGAGCAATATGGGAACTTTAAACTCTTCCATGCTGCACAGGAGTGCAGAGTCCTTAAAGAGTCTAAGTTCAGAGTTGTGTCCAGAAAAAATCATGCCTGAAGAGAAACCAGTACATCTGCCAGTGCTCAGAAGATCCAAGTCTCAGTCCAGACCACAGCAGGTCAAGTTTTCAGATGATGTCATTGATAATGGGAACTATGACATTGAAATCCGGCAGCCTCCAATGAGCGAAAGGACTCGGAGACGGGTCTACCATTTTGAAGAGAGGGGATCCAGGCCTCATCATCATCGCCGCAGAAGAAGTAGAAAGTCCCGCTCTGACAATGCCCTGAATCTTGTTACAGAAAGAAAATACTCTCCCAAGGACAGACTGCGGCTCTACACCCCCGATAACTATGAGAAATTCATACAGAATAAAAGTGCACGGGAGATCCAAGCATACATCCAGAATGCTGATCTCTATGGACAGTACGCCCACGCCACTTCCGATTATGCGCTGCAGAACCCGGGAATGAGTAGATTTCTGGGACTCTATGGTGAGGACGATGATTCCTGGTGTTCCTCCTCTTCCTCCTCTTCTGACTCAGAAGAAGAAGGATATTTTCTGGGACAACCAATCCCTCAACCCCGGCCACAGAGATTCACCTACTATACAGATGACCTTTCTAGTCCAACTTCTGCACTTCCCACCCCTCAGTTTGGTCAGAGGACAACTAAACCCAAGAAGAAAAAGGGACACAAGGGCAAAAATTGTATTATTTCTTAACTGAGTAGTGATGGAGATCATTTGTTTAAAACTTAGCCATTAACCATCTGAGTCCTATCTTTTTTCTTCTATAGGAAGGTTATGAATAGTTAAGTGCTTTCTTTGCCCTTGTAAATGAGAACCTAACTGCTGTTTACGTGTCAGATTAACATTTGAAAGGTGTGATTTCTCCAGTTTACCCTCTTGGATGGTGCCAGGTTGATGGGACATCTTGTGCCTATCAGGTGCATTACAGTTTTATACTGCTGCTTCAGTCTCCAACCCTCAAGGGAATACTCGAAGATACTGTCTCAAGGTGATTGGACGGGGGTATTGATTTTACAAGATGGAGAACTCTAGCCGCCTTTGTAAAGCAATAGTGTTTGTCATTTATGTAAGTCAGGACGGCTCAGGCCCTGATCAGTCTGTCTTGGTATGAGGCATGCACGTCGTCACAATGACCTAGCTGACACTGTGCATCTTAGTGTGCAAGGCCAACTTGTCCCCTTCAGCCCTCTTTAGCCAGGTAAACATTGTATTGTATTAGCGCCAGCTACAGATTGAAAAAAAATTGCTATTTATAATGTAGTATTTCACAGACGTAAGTGTATTCCTAATTTAACGGTGCAAATATTAATGTATATACTGTACAGTTCAGATTTTAAAGCTGATATTTTTATACCCCTGAATTGTAAAACGTTTGTTACGCTGCAGTGCTAGATTTGCTAGGGAACCAGAAACAGCATTTATGGATGAAATGATCGCTTGTATTTTAGCCAGGGTTTGTAAGTTTAGATGGTCAAATTTATATTGCCTAGTGATGGAAAGTTCAACATTTTTGATTTTTCAATATTAAAAAAAGCTCTGTATGCATGGTGGGGCTATGTAAATACTCTTTAAAACTATGGCCCTATTAATCTTACGAGTGTTATTTATGGGTCAAGCAATGTAAACTGTATAAATGTAAAAACAAACAAACAAAACACACATAATCCCTGGAATACATGGTAAAAACAAGTAGAAGGTGTTTGAGTGAATTTTTTCCCTCTGGGGGGGGAGGGGGAATGCCTTTCTTACTCTCAGCAAGATGATGCTTATCTCAAGGGAAGAGACCAAAACTACAAGTATCTGCTTTTGTGGCAGAGAACTTTGTAGATTTTTATTTAAAGAAAGCTTATTCCTTTTTATCCTTCCCCTTCTAGTTAATTTGTTGGCCCTTAAAATAGTCTTGAAAACTGGGTCTTCTAGTTTTGTTTTTCTTTTAAATCTTAGAGGATGCTGTGCCACTGAGTACTTCAAGTTAATATGAGGTTCTAGTTCAAAGGAAAATTATGTTGGATTTGAACTAATTAACAGATAGTTTGATATGTGCCATTCTTCCATATATGTTTCAATCCTAACTAAAGATCTTAGTGACATCTAGGATCTTTAGCGAGATATTGAATAAATGCTTAATAAATAACAAACTACCTATCTGAATACAAATCTTTGCCAGCATATCCAGATAACTTCCATTTTGTGCCTCTGTTCAGGCATGATTTATTTTGCAGTCATTATATCTTTAACAGTCCTCCATTTGACTCCTGTGTGTCCACATGCCCCCACTAGTAGGTAGGAAATAGGACTTCAGGCACAGAGGCATTTATCTCTGTATTTACTGGAGCGGGGCAAAGCTGTCAAGCCCTGGGGAAAAATCCACTCTAGGTAAACCAGTAGATCACTGCCTCCCCATGCCCATCCCTGGATTGGGCACAGGTTAGTATCTGGGCAAGACAAACGCCCTTCAGAAGATCACCTGTGGTGAGAGCGCACTTTACTCAGTCACTGTGTCATCATTTCCTGGTCTGGTGCATTTTAAAAATATATCCAAATGAAAGGAGGTGTATGCACATGGTAAAGAAATTCAAACAGGATGAAGACAGTGAAGTGTCTCCTTTCATTCTTCAATCCTAGTCCCCCATTCCGCTCTACAGAAATAACCACTCTTACCCAGTTCTAGTGCATCCTTCAGATGTTCAAATCATATCGTTGTCTTTTTATTTTTATTATTATTATTGTTTTTGGTTGGAGTCTCACTCTGTCACCCAGACTGGACCTCGACCTGCTGGGCTCCGGCAATCCTTCCGCCTCAGCCTTCTAAGTAGCTGAAACTACAGGCATGCGCTATCATGCCCGGCTAATTTTTTTTTTTTTTTTATTGTAGAGATGAGGTCTCGCTTGCCCAGGCGGGTCTCCAACCTGCGGGCTCAGGCAATCCACTCACCTCGGCCTCCCAAAGTGCTGGGATTACGGGCTGAGCCACTAAGCCCGGCCACATTGTGTCTTTTTAAAACACGGTAGTGAACTATGGCCAGGTACAGTGGCTCATACCTATAATCCCAGCACTTTTGGGAGGCTGAGGTGGGAGGATTGCTGGAGGCCAGGAGTTTGAGACCAGCCTGGACAACGTAGCAAGACCTCGTCTCTACCAAAAAAAAAAAATGAGCCAGGCATGGTGGTGTGTGCCTTGAGTCCCAGATACTCAGGTGGCTGAGGCAGGAGAATCACTTGAGTCCAAGAGTTCAAGGCTGTGGGAAGCTGTGATCATGCCACTGCACTCCAGCCTTGGTGACAGAGTAAAATCCTGTCTCTCCTACCATCACCCTTCCCAAAAAAAGTTGTAAACATATGCTGTAAGTTGCATACAGGCCTACCTAATTCTTTCAATGAATGCTGAATAGCCTATTTTTGGATGTACCTTTAACCAGTCCCTTTAACAATGAACTTGAATTTCTTAATACATACTTTATCCTATGATGGTACATGTGCACAGAAACTGGGACATAATTACTGGGACAAAGTTTATCTATTTAAAATAGATAAATCCTAGCCGGGCTCGGTGGCTCAGCCTGTAATCCTGCGCCTTTGGGAGACTGAGGTGAGTGGATTGCCTGAGCCCGCAGGTTCGAGACCTGCCTGGGCAACTTGGTGAGACCTCATCTCTACAATAAATCAAAAATTAGCTGGACGTGGTAGTGTACACCTGTAGTTCCAGCTACTTGGATGGCTGAGGCGGAAGGATCGCTGGAGTCCAGCAAGTCGAGGCTGCGGTGGCCAGGAGCAGCCACTGCACTCCAGTCTGGGCGACGGAGTGAGACTCCAACTCAAAACCAAAGCAAAACAAAACAAAAAAAAACAATAAAATAGATAAATCTTAAAAACAGATCTATTTAAAAACGGGATATTGACAGTTTATCTCCAAAAGAAATTCTGACTTACATAATGTATTAGAGTACTTATTCCATCACAATCTCTTGATGTTTAGCAGATTTCTTGATTTTGAAGAAATTTTCAGAATTTATGCTGCAAACAGATTGCTTAGAAAAGACGGTTGCAATATATTGCTTATAAAGGATGGTTAACAAATAGTAAGCAGGTGAGAGCCTGAAAGTTCAAGTACACTCACAAAAGATAAGGGATACATAGACTGCCAGATGCTGAAAGCAGTGCAGACATTTATTCACAATGATAATGTTTCAAGCTTAAAAATTAATCCCAGGCCAGGCCCGGTGCCTCAGCCTGTAATCCCAGCACTTTGGGAGGCCCAGGCGAGTGGATTGCCTGAGCCCGCGGGTTTGAGACCAACCTGGGCAAGACCTCATCTCTACAATAAGATTTTAAAAATTAGGCCAGGCATGGTAGCGTGCGCCTGTCGTTCCAGCTAATTGGAAGACAGGCGGAAGAATCGCCAGAGCCCGGCAGGTCGACGCTGGGGTGGCCGTGAGTGTGCCACTGCACTCCAGCCTGGGCAACGGAGTGAGACTCCAACTCAAAAAAAAAAAAAAATAATCCCAGTTAGTAGCAATAACAATATTATGTGCAAAGGGGAGCAACTGCCTTGCAGTTAGGCAAGAAAATAAAGTCTATAGTTGCTAAAAGGTGATATAGTCTAATTCCGGAGTTCCTAACCCCAGGGCTGTGGACCAGTACTGGTCTGTGATCTGTTAGGAAGCGGGCCGCACAGCTGGAGGTGAGTGGCAGGCAATTGAGTGACGTTTTATCTGTATTTACAGCTGTTCCCCATCACTTGCATTACTGTCTGGGCCCCATCTCCTGTCAGATCAGCTGTGGTGTCAGATTCTCATAGGAGCGCGAACTCTATTGTGAACTGCGCAGGCGAGGTATCTAGGCTGCGTGCTCCTTATGAGAATCTGATGCCTGATCATCTGAGGTGGAGCTGAGGTGGTGATGCTAGCTCTGGAGAGCGGCTGCAAACACAGATTAACATTAGCAGTGAGGTCTGACTGCACATTCCCACCCCACACCCAGGTCCGTGGAAAAATTGTCTTCCATGAAACTGGTCCCTGATGTCAAAAGTATCTGATCAATCACTTAAACTTCCAAATGTGGTCCCAAGATAAATATCCGATGTTAAAACACTGCATCTAACAGAGTGAGTGCTACTGGGTGAAGGAGAACCCTAATAGTTGCATTTTCTTCAGAAGACACAACAGGGAACGTTCTGCCCAAGGCCTGTGGAAGAACACTGGCAAAGAGTCAACACGAACGCCTTTCAGCTATTAAAAGATAATGATTCACTTTGCATGTGCATTTGCTGCTTTCTGCACTCTGCTTTCTAGTTTAATCAAAGTATCAGAAGACAAAGGAGACAGTACTTACTGTCTAATGACAGACGCTTTAGTCATGGGTCTTATGAACCAGATGGTAAAATTGGAATGGGCACCCAAGACGGCTAGGTCTGCATGTATGGCATGTGTCCCTGCCCAGTGTGATGTTTGGGCAGTGGGACCCAGGGCTTTAGATTGTGCTGAAAGTATTGTATTGGGTGGACATATTTCAGGAATGCCTGGAGGATGTCGGAACAATTTGTAACATGGTGTGGCCACACTTCGGTTTCTCGAGCTGCTATTTTCTCTTGGATGACTGCCATGGAAAGAACCAGTGTTGCTCGGCCATCAGATTTTTCAAGGGAAGCCAGGAATCTGAACTTTTGTTGAAATCTCCCAGCTTTTATTTTATTTATTTATTTTTTAATTTTTTTTTGAGTTGGAGTCTCACTCTGTTGCCCAGACTGGAGGGCAGTGGCACGCTTCCAGCCACCACAGCCTTGTCCTGCTGGGCTCCGGCGATCCTGCCACCTCAGCCTTCCAAGTAGCTGTAACTACAGGCGCTCTACCACCTCCGGCTAATTTTTTGTAGAGATGAGGTCTCGCCAAGTTGCCGAGGCAGGTCTTGAACCCGCGGGCTCAGGTAATACACTCACCTCAGCCTCCCAAAGCACGAGATTACAGGCTGAGCCACCGAGCCTGGCTGAAATCTCCCAGCTTTTAAATGCTAGCAACTAATTCAAATGTTTCTGAAACATTGTTGACCAAAATGAGGCTTCTATCAGCCAGTCTCCAACTCCTGAGTCATAAATTCAGGAGTCTGAAGCTGATTCCTCTATCTCTTAGAGCTGGCTAGGGGAGGCACAACTAATTGCTGTTTATAGAAATACATGTGACCCCTTTTGGATGCACAAATAAGAAAAATTATTGAGCTCTAAAAAGGTTTCCACTAAATGCCTCATTATCAATTCAATGCTAGTAACATGGTGATAAAACTCCATTTTAATTAGTCAAATGAGAAAATTGCTCATTGCCTGGTTAGATTCTCTAGCCATTCACTGAAACCATTTAAAAACAGAAGGAATTCTCCTTTATCATCTCATGGGTTTTCTGTAAACTCTCAAACACATTAGAAAAACTTCCAGGTAAACTGGGACAAGGAAAAACGTAAAAGAAATAACTGAATTTTGAGCCTTTGAGCTCACATTTTGCCACCGTTATAGAATCACAAGTTTTACTAGGGGAATAAAGTTTAAGGGTTGCTTTTTTTTTTTTTTTTTTTTGAGACAAAGTCTTGCTCTGCTGCCCAAGTGGGAGTGCAGTGGTGTGATCCTAGCTCACTGCAGCCTTGAATTCCTGGTCTCAAGCAATCCTCAGCCTCCTGAGTAAAGCTGGGACTACAGGTATCTGCCA